AACTGAGGGAAAATCAAAGATGAAAAAGAAATCTGAAGTAGTCCATGGAGCTAAGTCAAGACAAAAACCCCTGCCATCAGCTGACTCACCAATCACCATCCTCCACTCCCCTAAGAGGCGATGACAGAACAAGAGCACATCTTAACCCATCTCTCATTGGACAAACTGTCCACAGAGATAGCCCATAGGTAGATGAATGCTCGTATCTGCCTAAAGGAATCTCTCTGATAAACAAATCAGACTGAATTTTTCACTAGCTATATTTTAAATATCATATTTGGCCAATACAAAAGATCATCTAGGGGGCTGGGAAAGGTGGCTCAGTGGTAGAGTGCTTGCCTAGTATGCAGGAAGTCCTGTGTTCGATTCCTCAGTACCACACATGCAGAAAAAGCCAGAAGTGGTGCTGTGGCCCAAAGGGTAGAGCACTAGCCTTGAGTAAAAGAAGCTGAGCAACAGTGCCCTGACCTGAGCTCAAGCCCCAGGACTGGCAAAAAAAAAAAAAAGACAATCTATTCCTACAATTAATTGTAAAGCAAAATAATGCAATCAGGATGTGAGAATCCACCGCCCAGCCCCCACACTGAAACATTAGTAATAACTTCTGTCTATCTGAGTTCTTTTACTGCCCCATTCCTTGACTGCTCCTACCCACCTGAGATCCCCATTATCTTAAATGTTATGCTCAGTGATCTATTACAGACAAGTACAGCACACACAATTTCATTACAATATATGATTGCTTTAAAAGCTCACTTGAGCTCATTATAACCTGGAATTCTGAAAGCCAAAAACAAACATTTGCCATCAGTATACAAGAAATGCACAGCCATTACTTAGATCACAGGTCATGTGATACCTGGGCTCATGGCCCTTAAATTGGGGGTAGAGGGTAGAAAATGAAGTCTCTCTCTGTTCAGTGGTGTGCACTTTGGGGGAAGGAAGTGCAGACGTTCTTCACCCATTCTATGCATAGAATATCAAATGGATAGCTGTGGAGAAAGGGAGCTTGGCAGCACTTTGAAAGTGCTTTCTGTGGACATGGAAAATCAATCAATCTGCCAACAGAATAAGCTTGAGGCTTAACACTGGGTTTGCCTTCTTGCTGTGCTTACTAAGTATCTACTAAGAAAAATCCTAAAAACAAAATGTTTTCTGATTTCATGCTTTGAGCTGAAAACATGTCCATGTTTTCGTATGTGAAAGATTTATTTTGGGGTGGTCATGGTAGTGCAAGCTACTCAGCAGACAAACATAGGAGGATCATGGTTTGAGGACAGCCTGGGTGAAAAATAAATCATCGAGACCTTATGTTGACAAACAAGCTAGACATAGTGGTACACAACTCTAGTGCTACCTGCTCACAAGGTAGAACTTGGAGGATCACAATCTGGCACCTGCCCAGGCAAAAAAATACAAGACCCTGTTTGAAAAATAAGAAGTCTAGTCAGTCGAATGTATTTTTGTTTCAGACCCTATCAGAAACAAAATAGGGCTGGTAGTGTGGTTCAAGTGATGGAGCATGTGTCTTATCAAGCAAGCAGCCCAAGTTCAAACTCCAGTACAGCCACACACAAAGAAAAAGAAAAGAAAGAAAAAAAGATTCTATTATTATTAGGGTAAAAATCTATAAAAATTTCCTTTTATGATTTTATTGTTTTTTATTAAGATGTAATTGAAATATGAGGGCGTTTCATTGTGATATTTATATACAGACATACACATACAAACAATATACTTTGGACCAATCCACCCCCTCTACTCACTTCTATTCTTCCTCCCTTTGTCAAAGTATTTGATGGGTTTCGTTATGCTGTCTCCATAAATAGATAAGATATAGATAGATAGACAGAGTTGGTAAGTGATATAGATAAATGAGAGAAAGATAGCATACTTCAATACTCTTTACCTCAGTTTCCTCCCCCTCCTCGGATCCCATCATGGCAGTTCCCTTTTTACATTCGTGTCCCATTACCACCAGCATCATCACCATCTCCATAGCCATCTTCCTTCCTAGCCTATCCTCCATATATACGTGAGGCTATGAGACATTTGACTATTTAAGCCTGGCTCATCTCACTCAGTGCCATAGTGAAAGGCAAACTGTTTTTCAAGTTCACAGATGTGAGTGTACAAGTCACCGTTATCCCTTCAGAGTAGTGACGATTATCTAGTAGATCTCTCTGCAATACTTTTAGGCTCCACATTAATTATTGAGAATTAAACATAATAAATATCTTTTCCTGAATGTGAATGACGTGTGTGACACAAAGATCATAGTCATGCCTATAGGCAAACTTGAGAGCAAGCCTATTTAGCCTTTTCAAATCTCCTAAATAAAACCAGATTCTTGGGGATCCCTTGCAGTTTTATATGACTTTGCTTTTCTGCTTGAGAATATTCTGTATAGGGAAGGAAGGAAGGAAGGAAGGAAGGAAGGAAGGAAGGAAGGAGGGAGGGAGGGAGGGAAGGAGGGAGGGAGGAGGGAGGGAGAGAAAGAAAAAAGAAAGAGAGAGAGAAGGAAAGAAAGAGAGAGAGGGAGGAAGGATGAAAGGAAGGAAGAAAGAAAACACAAGTATTTATCGTAAGACAGTAGAACAAAAGATAAGGAAAGAACAACTTGTGAATTAGAATTCAAGAAGTACAGGTGCATTTAGCTTATATGTCTTCCAATTACACTGAGAATTGTAGGAACAGACATTAAATCCCAGAAACTTCCCTTACTGCAGTAAGAGTCCCTTCTAGCTTACATACCTCTAACTGTCCTGCTTTTTAGCTGCCTGTGTCATTATCTAATGTGACTTCCTGCTTCTCAGAGCCAATGAAGTACTAGTACAGACATTGAAAGCAAATCCTCCATGCTCTCATGAGTTAACCACTTGAACGTTTTGTGACCTGAATTGTATCTATGAACATTCTGAATTCATTTTCACATCTATAAAATAGAAATAATCCCTAACCAGAGGAAGGATTATACCACGCCAGGGTAATAATAAAATAGAAATAATCCCTAACCAGAGGAAGGATTATACCACGCCAGGGTAATAATAAACATTAAGGTTATCCAACATTTGAAACTTTCGTTACTTTTTAAAACACATGTTGGGCTGGATGTGTGCCTCAAGTGGTAGCTAGGGTGCCTGACTAGCAAATGCAAGACCCTGAGTTCAAACCCTAGTATGGCTTAAATAAGTAAATAAACATAAAGTCATAAAGCAATAAGGCAGAAGTCCCATTGGAGTGTGATAAAGGGTTTTTTCCCTTCATTGCGGTTTTTCTTTGCTTTTCCTTTTGTCTTGTTCATTCTTTTCTATGTTTTGGGGAGAGTAAGGAGAGGTACAGAAATGGAGGGACAGCCGGGCGCCCGTGGCTCACGCCTGTAACCCTAGGTACTCAGGAGGCTGAGATCTGAGGATCACAGTTCGAAGCCAGCCCAGGCAGAAATGTCTGTGAGACTCTGATCTCCAATGAACCACAAGAAAACCATAAGTGGCGCTGTGGCTCAAGAGGTAGAGTGCTCACCTTGAGCTGAAGAGCGCAGGGACAGAACCCAGGCCCAGAGTTCAAGCCAAGCCCCATGACTGACAAAAAAGAAAAAAAAGAAAAGAAATGGAGGGACAAAGGGTGAACAAACGAAGCAATGGTACTCACTGGACACTATGTTGAAAATGTACTATATAACTTGTGGGTGAGATGGGAGGGAAAACCTGGGAAAGAGTGAGAGAAGGGATGACATTGTCCAAAAAGAAATGTCCTCTTTATCTGATTGTAACTATAACCCCTCTGTACATCACCTTTAGAATAGCAATAAATATTCTTTTACAAAAACAATAAAACACAGAAATAATAACCAAATGAGAGTACATTAACCAAATAACGTTTCCAATGACATAGGTGATTGGCACTGATTAAACATATTACATTTTAAATATTAGACTATATTAAATAACTACTTTGGGTGACTTAAAAGTAATTAAAATAAACAGTTGAGTATTCAGGGAAGATTTGGAGCTACACGTGTGGCAAAGGGGCTTTGAGATTTTTGTTGTAATTTACACAAATCACTACAAAGTTTTAGGCAGCTGATATTCTAAATGATCACACAAGGAGAAAAAACAAAGATCATCAGGAGGTATGCCTGCCTGGAAAGATTCAGGCAGAGATGAGGCAGTAAATAGTATTTCACTGGATTCCTGAATTAGAGGTGGGGTATGGGAAAACAGGAATTATTCTACATATTGTGCTACAAATCCATTAACCCACAGTTGATGGTAAGAGCTTACACAATAGAAATGCAAATGGAAATGTTTATATGTGTATCAAATACAAAACCAGAATGCCATACTGGCAAATACAACAGAAATTGGTCCCTAGGCTTTTGTACACTCAGATACATTCATTTGGGCATAGAATGAGAATTTATTAATCAGGTACAAATGGAACCTAGAATTGCTAAAATATAGTCCTTTAGTTTTGAATTATCCTTTTCACTGTACAATATTGAGGATGACCGAGGATGACCAAAAATTAGCACCCCAACGTTTGCCTTTCTGGCCTTATGATCATACCTGAGAATCCTGGGAGATCTTTAGTCTCCCTCTCTCTTTCTAGTGACAGTATTTGGAGATTGTCATGTTTGGGCAAGCCTGAGAGCTAGAAACCTACCATTCTATACTTAAAAGGAAACATTGAGCCAGCATGGAGGTAAAGGTAACAAAGCGAGAGGAAACACAAAGCTGAAATTTCATTTGTATAAAAATGGATTTATTTGTATACTTCTCTGGTTCCCCACTCCTTGGCTCTCCCCATTGGGTTCATAGAACACATCACGTGAGACAGTGCCCGGGCCCATATATATCATCGCCCCTGAGTGAGCCCTCCACTGGGGGAGCATGTGATACACAGTAGAACGTGGTTTTTGGCCTGTATCTTTGTCACACTTTTCCAGAACACCTAAGTGATGTTCCCTTCCTGACTCTCCTCCTCTCTCTTCTCCTCAGGACTACTGGCTCTCTCTCCTTTACAAGCGCCTGATTGGCCCCAAAGTCCTGGCAGTACACGTGGCTGGACTCCAGCGGAAGCCACGGCCAGGACGAGTCATCCGGGACAAACTAAGGATTTATGCACACTGCACAAACCACCACAAGTAAGTCTTCACAGAGAAGGAACAGGAGGGCCACCCCCATGGGCTTCAGCCCCACTTGGAATTTCATACCCATGGGGACTCCTTCATGACTTAACCTCTATTCAGTAACCTTCCTTAAGAACTGCCTCTCAATTTTTTTTTAATTTTTGCTATACTGGAGTTTGAACTCAGGGCCTCGCACTTGTTAGACAGTGCTCTATGGCCTGAGCCATACTCCTAGATCTGAAAACCGCCTCTGAAATCACCATGCTCTCCACATGTGCTGATAAATAGCTTTTACTTTTCTCAGGATTCATTTGTAAAAAGGTTCTTAAAGTACAGGCTGTTTGTTCATTTACTTACTCATCCAACAAATTTTTATTGGGCATTTTCTCCGTGCCAGTTGACGTAATGCCCACCAGCATTTTTTTTCCTTCCTTCTTTCTTTCTTTCTTTTTTTTTTTTCTGTCTCCTTTGGTTTTGTTAACTTGTGCCTGGGCCAAAACAACAGGCCAAGCCTCACCCCAGGAGGCACCCACAGAGCTTGAGGAAATAAGGCTCCATTTCAAAGATGCTTGCTGCAACTACACCCCTGGAACTCAAGTCCTGGGACTGGTGCACTCAAACCAGGACCCCCTCACAAAGAAAGTTCAAGTCGTGCTGACTTGAGAGTGGTTGTCAGTTTTTTCAAACATCTCTGCTACTTTAAGTGTGAGGGGAAAAAGGAAGTGTAGGCAGGGAAGAAAACAGATAATGATCCACAACTTATCCTTCTCTTTTTGACCTGAAGCACCGCTTGTCATTAGAATTGTCTTTAACAAAATCAACTACAAAAAAAAAAAAGGAATTTTTTGTAAATAAAGTTTGGCAGATTAAAACCTTTCAACCACCAAGGCTATATAAGGGAAATATTTAAAATTGGGCCTAATGCAAAACTAGCTGGCCCCACTAGATATTTTTCTCGCATCACTTCCTGTTCAGGAGGAAGTTGCCTTGGAAAATTCTTGCTCTTAATGCAAGAGAAAACCTGGGGGCAGAGAGTGCTTCCTGCCAGACCACCACCCTGGGTCTATTTGAGCTGATCAGAGGGGGAGGGGAAACACAAAAATGCCGCCTTGGTCAGATTACACCAGATGCTCCTTTCTCTGTCCTGGAGGAGACAGGAGCCAGGCTGGTTAGTTCTACATGATAAGAATTTTCAAAGACTCCCTCTGGGCGGGGGGGGGGGGTCAGGGACATGGGCCATTTGTCTTGCCTGTAGATACAAGTACCTATTGTAGGGGAGGGGAGGCTGGCTTGGGTAGAGGCCAGAGGTTTTCAACATCCCTTTTGCTCAGCAGGAAGCTCAATCCCTTACCTGACAGACAGTGACTGTTTTATGGTTTGATTATTATCTGATCACCACAAGGCAACATTGTCTTCCTTGTCTCTGCCCTGGGACAACCACCCAAAAGGTGGACCCTGGGCTTCAAAAGAGAAAAATTGCTCTTGGCACCTTCTCTCCAGGGTGGAAAACAGCGTCTGTGGGCTTCCTACGACTGTCTGGAGACCCAAGGCAGAAATATTAGTTACTGTACAGAGTTAGCAGGATTTGAGAATCATCCCCAGAGGACTCACCCCAGTGCTGGTTCTGCAGTGACATTGTCACAGGAAGTTGTCACTAATATTCTGAGGACACCATTGTCTCACTCATTTTTTTAGGTCTAATAGAATAACTGCCATGAAGATAATCCTGTAAATGTTTGAGAGAGAAATGCCCAAGTGGAGGCAGAAGTTGGGCATGAAGATGTCCCACTGGTTTATAGTTACATTCTCTTGGCTACCTATGGTTCTATCCGCCGGACCAGAGGGTGTTACAAAGGGAGTAGGCATTCTCCCATCCACTACCATGAGACTTCAAGCTAAGGCAGAGGAGGTAGAGAAGACAACCAGAAAAATTAAGATAGAAAGCGTTAAGGAGTCCAAACTCAGGAAGGAAAACAAAACTAAGAAGTAAACCTGAAAAATCAGAGCAGCAATCCATCCTCCCATCACTTTGTTTTCCCAGTTTAAGGAACCAATAGCTCTCAGGAAGTGGAGTGTGGCTCAAGTGGTAGAGAGCCAGCCTTACGTGAAAAAAGCCAAGGAAGAGCTCAAGGCCCTGAGTTCAAGCCCCAGTGTTAACCCCTCATCCCACCACTCCTATTCTTCTCCCCCCCCAAAAAAAAACAAACAGAAATCAACAAATGTTAAAGAAGACACAGAACAAAGGGCAAATCTGCCTCCTAAGAGACACAGAGCTGCAAAATCATGGACTAGGTAGACAGAAAACTGGTCATGTCTGGCAAATGAAGTCTTGAAATACACACCTGTTGTGCTGTGTTTTAGGTATACATAAACCACAGCCCTGTGTCTTCAATCATTAGAACCATTTTAGTCATGTTTTGGGTAATAAACCCACTCCAAAAGCTCAATAGTTGGAAGCCTAGCAAAACAGTTATAGGACATGACCATGTGTAGGCTTCCAGCTCAGAATATAGAAAAATTCCCAAACAAGAACTACCCTGCTGGGTCATGTCACACATAAACCTAACAAGAAAAATGGTTCTCATTAGATCTGTAAAGAAAAGGTTCATCCAAAGATTGCAAGTCCCCTTCCTGCAGGGGGCAGGTGCCCTGATAGGTGAGCGAAAGGACAAACGCATCTGCCTCTGCCTTAGGAGCCATGGCCTGTCTGTGCCTCACATCTTCCCCAGCAGCCATAAGGAAGCACTGCTGATGCCTTTAAATTATGCATGGCTGAAGAAGCCAAAGTCACGGAATCGTCTCCAAGTGGGAATGTCAGTGTCATACTAATTGGCCCTGACCAGTAGTTTAAAAATAAATGCCCTAGATCAAAACAAAGACTGGTTGAGAAAGCATAAACTTACTAATAAAATAAGTCAAAGAAAGTAACATTAAAATATCAACTTCAGTTGCGGGGGCTGGTGGCTCACACCTGTAATCTTAGCTACTCTGGAGGCTGAGATCTGAGGATCACAGTTCAAGCCAGCCTGAACAGGAAAGTCCATGGGATTCTGATCTCCAATTAATTACCAAAAATCCAGAAATAAAGATGTGGTTCAAAGTGGTAGAGCATTAACCTTGAGCTTAGGGATGGTGCCCAGGCCCTGAGTTCAAGCCCCAACACACACATGGAAAAGGAAAGAAAGAAAGGAAGGAAGGAAGGAAGGAAGGAAGGAAGGAAGGAAGGAAGGAAGGAAGGAAGGAAGGAAGGAAGGAAGGAAAAGAAAAGAAAACCATTGATGCCTGTTTGGGAAGTACAGTTAATAAAATTGGGATGACACAGAGAAGATCAACATAGCCTCTGCACAGGGTGATACACAAATTTGTAAGCCATTTTCCATATTCAAAGCCAAAGGAACATCTGGACACCAGTGGCTTATGACTATAATCCTAGCTACTCTGGAAGCAGTGATCTGAGGACTGTGGTTTGAAGCCAATTCATGCAGAAAGTCCATGAGACTCTTATCTCCAATTAACCAGCAAAAAGCCAGCAGTGGCGGCATAGCTCAGGTGGTAGAGTGCCAGCCTTGAGTGAAAAAGCCATGCAAGAGCACAGAGGTCCTGAGTTCAAGCCCCAGTACTAGCACAAAAACAAAAACAGCTCCTGCAACCAATATGTATTAAACACATGCTACATAACAAGCTGCTTGCCAGATACCTGCTTTTATATTGTGCTATTTTCTTACATTTCCAAAATTCTGTTATCTCACCTATGTGCAAATAACAACATTAATGATGCTAACTATTATTATTTTTTCATTCGGAGAGAATTCTTACAGGTCATTTGGCCCTGTTTTCTATTGAACACAGATCCTTTTCAGATCTCCCTGAAAATCTCTTCACTGCCCCTTATGGCAGTCTTTGTATTGTGGGTCATTTCTAACCTAGAAGAGCCTAGTTTTCCTGACTGATTGAAGAGCCACCAACAGCAGGTGCTTCTCTGCTTTCTGCTCTGGAATTAACCAGTTATGATGCTGGAAGACTTAAAATTTCTCACCTTCGATCTTGTCCAGAGAACAATCAATTGGACCTTGCTGTTATGATAATGTGCCATGTGGGGGTGAAGTTGAAGTCCTTAGCCACATTCAGAACCAGTGGGAACCTGGTGTGTGTTGAAATGAAATGGAGCCATGTTGGGTTCAAGTTCGTTTATTATTGGCAAAACATGACTTCCTGTTTTTCAGGAGGAGTTATTTTTTTAAGGCTCATAAAAATGGTTCCTGAGGCTTCTTGGACATCAAATGACTCTTACAAAACAATATTTTGATGAGTTAAGTGTAAATGAATCAGAAACATGTGGATTAAATTTCCCTCAAAATACACAGGGGCTTTGAAATTAAGAGGGAGAAGAAAAAGGAAAAACATTTGGCAAAACAGAGCCTGACTTTTACCAAACTCCAACCCTTTGAATTCGATTATGGAGACGATGGACCAACTGAATTTTCAAGCACTTTGACTTTCACTGGGATTGGTCATGAACTGTGACATACCATCCTCCCTTTCTTTTCCCAGACTCCCAGCCTCCACTGGAGATGTTTCTAGAACATGACTGTTTTCTATCTGGAACTCAAGATGTACCTTCCATACCCATGTTCCACCTCTCATATTTAGGGTATTCTCATTCCAGCCTCTTCGCTCTGACTCACTTCCTCCTCCTATAACAACAGAGAGAAGATGTCAAGCAGGGAGAAAACAACCAGAAAAGATGAACTCCAGATACATAGATTGGCAGCTGGTGAGAAAGTCTCACCATGACAGAGACATCGACTAAGATAGCAGTATAGCTTTGCTTCACAAAGGGACCTTCGGGAAGATAACCAAAAGCCACAGAGACTTGACCCCACCAAGAGCCAAAAGTGGCTGACCAAGCCTTCAAACACCATTTTCTTAGGGAACAGATATTCCTCCAGGAGTACTTCTCGGTGGACAAAGAATCAACATTCTTCAGGAATCTGGATTCTGAACACAGTACACTCAGGTTGATGCTGGGATCCCTAGCCAAGAATGTGTCTTCCCAGCCAAAGGCCTCTGCTTCATGTCCTTGCCCATCTGCCAAGCAGGGCAGAGGAGATGGCGGATGCAGCCTTCAGTGCCAATTTCTACCTGAGGAGGCTCTGTGAGTTCCCAGAGAGGCTGTGAGCACAAGTCCCTGGGCTGTCCTGGTTTGTATCTCCCAGGAGAACTGAGTCAATGGAAATCAGACCACTGCCAAACAGCTTGGAAGGCTGGCTTTCCCCATAGCAATACTGCGACTTCAGGTCTCACTCTCACCTAATACTTCCCCACATCCCACCCTTCTCTCCTGAGTCTCCACGGGCTCATTCTGCCCCAGCTCTGTGGAGGGAAAAAACTCATAAACGCAAGCACATGGCGCTCCCTCTCTCTCTCTCTCCTTCACTGGCCTTTGAGAGTGTTGTGTGATACGGTCATTTCCAAAAGATTACTGCAGTTTGAATGGGCACCTGCCCATGCCTATTTAGTTTACATATGGAAGCTTAGAGTATATAATGGTGACCTCCTCCATTGCACATAGCCAAGCTAGGCAGAAAGCCCACCCATGGGGTTTACTTGGTGTTCTTCTCCAGTGATGATCAGCACCAACACAGGCTTGCCAACATCTTTCTTCAGAGCTCTGGTGACACAAATCTGCTCGAATCCATTTCTATCCTCTTCTGACTCATTTGGCTACAAAAGCAAATTCATATGCTGCAGGAGATTAAGAGGGACTGCATAGGGGAGCCATTTAATACTTTATCAGAACAGAAATGCAGGCATCCAAAAAGCTTTGAGCACAGTAACAAACCCTCCCATAGACACAAGAAAAGTCATCTGACATACAACCAGTAGGATGGGGGTCTCCTCCTCCTCCTCCTCCTCCTCCTCCTCCTCCTCCATCTCCTCTTTTCCTCCACTTCTTCATCCTCCTCCTCCTCCTCTTCTTCGTCTCCATGGTGGCACTACAAAACTAGTTCAAACCCAACTCATTGGCCAACTGAACTGTAATCTCTTCCAGGAAGCGTCCTGGAAACTGTGCTTCTTTTTTTTTAATCCCAAGTTATCATACTGACCTGCCCTTGGCTGTTCAACTCTTAATTAGCACCTTTAGAAGCAGGGTTGAGTGACTCAGGGTTCAAGGGACAGTGTCTGCAAGGAGTGATGTTTTCCTCTGGGCAAAGTCGACTTGGAGTTTCTCCGAACCTCTCCTTTGAAGGTTGGGCTGGGTCATTTTTTTTTCTGTTTCCTCTCATTAACTCATCCAGATGGGGCCCTAAGGGACCCTTTAGAAACAAAGTCTTTCCTACAGAGTGAAGGAAATCATTATAGTTTTGTGGATACACACTGAAAAAGCTCTTGCATGTAGGCATATAGTTCTCCCAGGGTTCTGGACATCCTGTGCTGGTTTTAAATGGTTCCAAAATGGTGACGAGTGTTATGCTTTGAGGTAAAACAGCCAAAGCAGGAATCAAAAAAGTGATAAATAAATTTGTCTCCAAAACCTGTTCTGCATCAGAATACACTGCCATCAAACTGAAACAGCCAAAGAAAATGGGGAGCTTTTATAACACATGTATACAAAGGATTGCTATCTTTCATAAATAAATAGTTTTAATAAATCAATTAAAATAGGCAAAGGATATGAATAGTGTTTACAAAAGAGTTGATGGAACAAAGTGGGCAAATGAAAAAATGCTGTATCCTAATGTGAACTAAAAAAAACACACAAATTAATACAACATTCATAGCCCATATTTACCTCCAAGGTTGACAGGTTATTTTAAAAGATTAGTATCTGATATTCTTGCAGGTACGAGGCAAAGAGTGTAATCGTACAGAGCTGGCAGAAGCAAACTGCTAGAAACTTTCTAGAGAGTTGATATCAATATTTTTTAAAATGTGTATGCCAGAATCAATGAGCTACACTGTGATAACAAAGAATCACCCAAACTCTGTAGCACCCAAAAAAAAACAGAACTTATTTCTCATTCACACTAATTGCCCAACAAAACTCAGCTGAAGCTCTACTCTGTATTCATGGCAATAGTATAGCCTCCATCGAAAATATTGTGAGACCAGATGAGGTGGTACACACCTATAATGCAAGTACCAGGGAGGCTAAGGCAGCAAGATTTCACTATCTCTGGAAGGGAAAATCAAAAGCAATGTAACAAACAACAACAGAAAATAACTCATCAGTCTCCTAGCAGAAGAAAACAAAACATGGCAAAGCATGGGCTGGTTCCTAAAGCCTCTACCCAGAAGTCTTAATAGTTCAGCTCATATTTCATTGGATAAGGAAAATCATGGGATCATTTTGGAGTTCATCAGAGCAAGGACATCAGATCTTCTCACCGGGAGGAGGTACCATGGGGAACAAACTTAAAAACTTAATGAGGCATCATGCAATTTACATTCCACTTGGCCTAATGATTCCATCAAAAAGCATCATCATGTAAAATGGGCATAGTGATCCCCTTCTGAAATCCAACACTGTGGAGGCTGAGACAGAGGATCACAAGTTTAAGGCCAACCTTGGCTGTATAGTGATACCCTGCCTCAAAAAATGAATGGCGCTGTGGCTCAAGCAGTAAAGCGCTCGCCTTGAGCTGAAGAGCGCAGGGACAGCGCCCAGGCCCAGAGTTCAAGCCCCATGACCGACAAAAAAAAAAAAAAGAAATGGAAAAATAATCAAAAAATGCAAAAAAGTGTTTATGTACAATGAGACCTTTCATGACAATTGACAATGGTAAAAACATTGTAAAGCAACATGATTCTGTGCAAGAAGATGATTGGCTAAACAAATGATGCCATCCTCCCGCAATTGAAAACCTTAGCATTCTTCTAGAAGACAAAGAATCTATTACAGCACGAGGACATGTCTTAGATGCTCATTAACAGAAAAAAGCTGTATGAATAACGTGATCCCAATTATATAAAAACTGATATATTAGCATGTGTCAAAGTACTTAATACATGTTTATTAAATTAATAACTAAAAAATAGTGGATGTTTTCCAAAATGTTATCCTATCTAAAGATGCTATGAGTATAGGAAATTTTCTTTCTTGCTTTCTGTTTCCCTGTACTTTTTTTTCTATTTTCATTTTTGGTAGATGGGTTTGTTTTTGGCAATCATTATGTTTTACTTCCATACTCAGAAAAATATATGCATTATATTTGCTTTAAAAAAATCAATACAATAAATTTAAACAAAACCTAAAGAAATTGGTGGGAAGTGGATTTCTTCTTTTCAGGAAACCACAGTAACAAGGCTTTCCTGTCTTGAAGGCCTATTGTGGCCAACATCCATAAAACAAGTATTCTTTTCTGGGGTGGTCCTGTTTTAGGCAGCCTATAAATTATTTAGGAGCATCTAACTAACCGTTTTGTTTCCATCTTTTCCTTTCTCTCTCTCTCTCCATCTCAGCCATAACTACGTGCGTGGGTCCATTACACTTTTTATTATCAACCTACATCGATCAAGAAAGAAAATCAAATTGGCTGGGACACTCAGGGACAAGCTTGTGCACCAGTATCTGCTGCAGCCCTATGGACAGGAGGGCCTGAAGTCCAAGTAAGTGCTGGCCTGGACCTAGCTTAGCAGCAAGTGCACAGGAGCTGAGCAAGGAGGTAATTAGAGTCATCCTCTACTGAAGCCACCATACCACCATTGCTAGCTACTAATTCACTCTCGAGCTCAGTGGGCTGAAGTAGAACAGGGTGATGTGGAGTGAGGGCACTTCAGATTCACACTGGGACCCTGGCCAAACGCCCCTCAATCCCCTTGTTTAGATTCCACAACTGTAAGGTCAAATGATGGGCAAAATATTTCTCAAGGAGAGGGTACTCCTGGAATTTGAGCAAGACAGCTCTTCATTATGCTGGATTATCACATTGCAGGCTATTTAGAAACCTTGAGAACTTTCTTGCTAAATGCCAACAGTGCCCTTGTTCATGGAACAACCACAAATGTTGGCAGTTGAGCCCCTTGTCCCCACCTGCTGTCACTTTCTGTCATGTTGTGACTCTTATTTATTCCTCACCATCTACACACTTCATGAGCTTTAGAGGAGGAAGCACCAGAAGAAAGGATCAAAAGTTCAGAGGTCAAGAGTCAGTTCTGAAGCCAAGTGCCAGTCACTCAGGCCAATAATTCTAACTACTCAGGAAGCTGAGATCTGAAGACCCCAGTTCAAAGCCAACTCAGGCAATAAAAAGTCCATGAGACACTTTATCTGCAATGAACTACCAAAAAGCCAGAACTGGAGGCATGGCTCAAGCGGTAGAACACTAGCCTTGTGTGGAAAAAGCTAAGTAAGAGAACAAGGCCCTAAATTCAAGCCCCAAGACTGGTATTTTTTTTTAAAAAAAGGTGTGGGAGGTGGTTTGAGACATGGTTCAGTTGGTTAAGCACTAGCCATTGAACAAAAGCATCAGGTACCCAATTCAAGTCTCGGTCTTAGACCAAAACTTTTTTAAAAGGTGTCAGTTCTGCCCCTTGGGTATATCTACCACTTGGTCTCAGCTTCTCCATCTGAACAGCAGAAGGAGGCCAAATGCTGGAGGCTCTGTGGCCCCTCCAAAAGTTAAATGCATCACTCTGTGATGCTCCCTTCTCTCCCTCAATCTCTCCTAGAAACTATCGGCAGCACTGATGTACCAAAGAAAGCAGCTCTCAGCAGCAGGGAGAAAGACCTGGTCAAGGGCAAGGCCACCAGCTCCCTGAGCAAGGCCTCTCAGGAAGGGTAGGGGGTGCTCTGCAGACTGGGGGCGTTCCCGTTCCATTTTTAATGTTTACCAAGTTTAACAAAGCTGTAAACTTGGAGCAGGTGGCTTGCACTCCCACAGCTGCCCGCAAATATTTGTGCTATAATTGTTCACTGTTTCACTGCAACCTTGGTGGCTTGCATTTGGCTCCCAACTGTATGTGCAATGGGGACAAAACCATCTGGGAAGTCACTTACTGCGTCTCTTTGGCCCACCCTAGATCTGTATTTTAACATGCGTCTTCATGCTGCCTACATTCTTGGCTTCTACTTTTTCTGTCTTCCCAATCCTATCTGTATCAGCAGGACCCTTTGGAATATGTTCTCTGCTTTCTCTCTGCCTTCCTATCATTTGCAACTAATATGCTGAATTCCCAGCCTCTATCCAAGGCTGGAAACGTAGTTCTAGTCCCAGCTTCACCACTAAATAATTGTGTGGTCCAGGCATATCCTATAATCCTAATCCCTTTGCCTCAGTTTCCACATCTGCAGAAGTCTGTGTATTTGGCAAGGACCCTGGCAACCCTAAAATACTCATCATGGGTCTGGTTTCTGGATGGCCATGAGTGCATTTAAGTCTCCCAACACCATTCAATATCGATCTGCAAAGTCATTTCGGGCAACAAAATCACTGACTCCTCAGCAGTGATGTGACAAGTTAAGGTCCCATAAATACAAAGATCTTAGAAGCTGGGCCTATCTATCCAGTACCAGGAAGACCATGTGAACTATGGGAGGAGACTAGCCAAAGACTTTAACCCAATAGACCCAAGACGTCAGTCTGCACTGTGCACAAGAGAAATTGTGTGCCACTCCCCTAAAAGCCTCAGTTTCCTCTCATGTGGAGCAAATGAATTGAGGTCATCCATGGAAAGTTCCTGATACATAGTGAGTGCTCAATAAATGCCAACTGCCCTCCTTTTCCTCAACTGAAAACACTAGCCAGTTGAGGAAAGGGTATCAGTCAGTCTCACTACAAATGCTGTTTAAAAGAAGATTCATCTCAGAATTTTTTAAGATAATGCTTTAGCAAAATATGTGTTAAAATTACAGTCGATAGGCATGCTGAGAATTAGAAAAAATTAAACTGTGGTGCAGGAGAAAATGGTAGTTAAAGGGCAGCATTTTTATGAGCTAATTTCCCCACCAACCAATTGTATAGACTCCAACCTATTTATCCCAGCCCTATTGCTGTCTACCATGTTATTCCCCTGCTACTGTAACCTGCCATATCAAGGCCTTGACTTACCAAGGGTGCCCCAAGTGACTGAGTCTCACGGGCTATGGGTGAGTTGAGTGGATGTTCACCCTTTGCTGCCCTGCACTTTATCTTGTCAGTGGATTAGTGAGGATTGTGTTAAAACTTTGTTAAGAGTGTAGAAGAAGGACAAGGACAAAGGGAGCTTCATTCCACTGGAATCCTAAAGAAGGACTTTGGTAAAAAACCCACTGAGATCAACGAGTACTGCCCTGTAGTCAGGGGGACCATGGGGCTAGAATCAGAAGGCCAGAATGTAGCGCCAGATGCTGCCACTTATCTGTGCAATCTAAGCTCAGATTCTTGTAAGAATCAAGTAATAATATGCAGATGAAACAAAGCCTTCTCCGCATGAAAATCCCACATGCCCACGCATCCACATACATGCAAGTTGTATTAGAGAATTTGGGATTGGAGGTAAAGACAACTAGTCTCTAGAACCTAATTGTACTACTAATTCACTGTGAAACATTGGGCCCAAAATTCATGACTCCTCTCTTGTCCTATAAGCCACTCCTAATCTGTCACCTTTTCTGTTCTATACCCTCGTCCTTCTCATCCTGTCCTCTGCCATCTTGGACTATAAGCTGCCAGTAAGGGACTATCATGTTAGAAACCATGCCATGTGCTCTGCCTACCAACTACATAGAACCAGAACCCTTTGTGGTTCTGGCTGGGGCCTCCCAGAAAGTGTGTGTTATTACTGAAGCAGACTATGCAGAAAACGATGAAAGGAAACTCGAGAAGCCATTTCAGTCTTTGCTGTCTTTTTCTTTTTCTTTTTTTAAAATAAGCTTCTGGGGCCAGATTCTGTGTTCCCTGCTACAGACTGAAGCCATATTAGTTTAGAAGAGGATGGAAAGTTCTGGAGGCAAGGAAACATGTAATTATTTCTATCTGGAGGAAGAAGATATAAAGCCAGCCCATGTTACATTCAAGCCATCAGTTAGGCATTTCTATCTTGTGTTTCAGGAGAGAGGATTGAGAACATGGATGATTCTCATTCTCATATAATTGCCATTAAGGCTGGAGAATTCGAATTTCAGAAAGAAACGGTATCTTCACGTGAACCTAGAACTTGTATGTCAGCTCTCACATAGGAAGCACTGGGTGGCTACTAATCAGACACTTTCTGGGCAGCTAAGTTCAGGGTGAAGTCTCCTGCTTTCAATTTCATGGCAAATCAATCCCAAGACCACCCCCCCCCCACTCCCACACACAAGTCTCAATTCCTTGTATAAGAGATTATAGTACTCATTGTAGAATGTCTCGCTCTAGGAACCAGAAAGAGGAGGGTACTCTTTTCTCTGTTGGGTAGAAGTTTTAGAAGCTTCACTGTCTGCAATTAAAGGATGTTCTGTATGTAGAATGCACATTCTTCAAGAGATCCCCAGAGGGAATGGGAGATTTAGTTCAGAGAAGAAAACTAAGGTAACATGAGGACTTTCTTCAGATACTACTAGGACTACATCCAAGTCTAGAAGATTCAGAATGACAGGGAGGAAAAAGAGTGCAATTTAAAAGAAGACCAGTTGCACCTCAAAACAAGCTCATTTTCTTAAGGCTCACCTGGTCTGATGAACATACTTTCTCATGGAGCTTGTTAGTGAGAAGAGGGGCAACGTTCCAGAAGTGCTCTGATTTTTCACTCAGTGGGAGGCCAAGTAGGAGAGTACCACTTGCCATCCATCTCTGAAGTTCTATCTTTCCCTCCTATTCCCCACTGTCCCCATGACGCACAGACTGTGGTCTCTGTGGACACCAGCAAAGTAGCTTCTTCAAGCCACTAAAGGACCACACAAAGACTATTATAAGAGCAAATAGTAGTAATGAAGGCTAGTTTTTCCCCAGAAAAAAAAATCCCCAGCTGTGGGCTCCTCCCTGTCCTGATTTCACAGCTTTCTGGAAGACAGCCCCATTCACACCAGGGACAATGGCCCAATTCTGGGTAAATCAGAAGAGAGGAGAAACTTGAAGGCAGACAGCCCATGACCTCATGTGATCACAAATGAAGGTACATTTTCCTATAGGGAACTGGTTCTACCTGATGACTATCTCTTATATCTCTCAGCAAACAGAAACAACATGAAGTTGAGCTTTAAAAATAAAAAGCCAACTTATATCCAAAAATAAGAGGGCTTACCTGTACAGGTAAAAGCCAAAATCAGAAAACATGACAGGCCAGATCCTAAGATGCTTCCCTGTGTCTTCAATTCTATTAAGAGGGGAAATAATCCTAAACTTAGAAAAGAAGGAAACAACTTTCATCACACTGACTGTTGTAAGATCCTGGCCTGAGGGAACTGGCAGATGCTAAGAATTCTGGGGTGGAATGACATTTTGAGGTGATCTGGTCTGTCTCTTGCCCTCATTTAGCCTGTGACTAAGCTGTCTGGACCAAAGGATGTCCAATGTTTAAAGACCTTGGGGAAAGGAGTGGCCACTGTGTGAACACTCAATTTTATGGTAACACTGGGGCCGACTACAATCATTTAAGTAGCCATGGTCTCACTAAACCTTCAGAACACCACCATAGAAGCACTTGGAAGA